AAGTCACATTAACTGCATTACATTAGATGATAAAGATGGCAAAGATGAGGAAATTATTTAAACAAAAATTACCTGAAAAACCCAAAAGTCGTCAGAAAATTCTTTTATACTATTAATTACTTATATTATTAATTATTTATTATTAGTAATTAATTAGTATTTTATTTATTTATATTAGTAAATTTAGTATAAATAGAATAGTTTTAGAACTTGATTAAGGTAGACAATTGTAATAAAACAATTTTGTAGACTATTAGAATTCAATTAGTTTTTATCACTAACAAGATAAATGCTAATAATAGTTATATATTAATAAATATAATTGTATTGAATTCTTTATTATATAACAAAATCCTTAAAGTTTATTCTAAATATACATTATCATGTGAAGTAATAATTTTTGTAAACCTTTCAGAGTTCTCTCTAAAGTATTGATTAAAGCTGAATCTTTTGTTAATCTTGCATTAATATTAATTTTCAATTATTAGTATTGTAAAATAATAATACTATTATTATAATTATTTTGTTTTCTATCATTATGGTTAATTTAAGATTGATAGCAGCCTTTTGTAATATGTTAATTTATTTACAATTATAATAACTTTTGATATTATTATTATTTCAGTTATTATTATTAAACTGATTACTTTTTTAATTACTATTAAATAAATTTTTATTAGTTGCTTTAAGGTTATAATAGTTTTAATCAATATTTTTTGAATACTTTTAACAATTTTTTATTATTTTGTTAATATATTTAGAAAAAAATTTGTAATCCTTACTTAAAAAATTTCAAAATTAATTCTATTATAATAAGTATATTTCAAGTAATATAAAGATTAAGACATCTAAAAAAGTATCAAAAATTACTTAATTTTTTAACTAATTTATAATACTAGTATTAGAAATATTAATAGAAGATATTAGTCAATAATTAAAAGATTTAAAAATAGAGCTTAAATTAAAATACAAATAAATATTAGCTATTAAATATAATAGAAAGTATACAGTTTATAAATATTTAATAAAAACCAAAATAAATGAAGTTAAAAAAATAATAGCAGTAAAAAAGTAGCAAAAATAATGTATTTTACTTATGATTCTTATAAACTTTGAAAAATTAGAAAGAATATTAAATATTAGTTAAAATATAATAATTTTTTAATTTTTTATAAGATTAGTATCAAAAAATAATAAGATTAATAGATAATAAAGATGTTATAAAAAAATATCATTAATAAATTAGAAGTTATAGTGATAATATAACTCTATATATATTTAAAAGTTTAAACAATTAATTTCTATTTTTAATATTATAAAAAAAATTATTTTTATTTTAATTATATAATATTAATTTAATATTTTTAATATATTATTAAATATATAAGTAGAGGATTTATTAAAATAATTATAAACGTAATAATATTATTAAATATCAAAAAATATTTCTTAAACAGATGACAAAATATGAATTTTTAATAATTACTTGTAAAAGGAGAAAATATATATTAAGTTTCATTACAATTAAAAAAAAATGAATATAAATATATTTATATATTTTAATTGTTCATAATAAAAGTATATTTTATTTCAATAAATCAAAAAGAACAATTATTATTATATAAAAAGAAAAATAAAAAATCAATTATAATTAATAAGTTTTAACTAAAGCTTGAAAACTCTTTATTTAATATTAGATAAATTTCTTTAAATCTAATAATTTTAAAAAAAATATATAATTTTAAATTACAAAAAAATAAAAACAAATTAAACAAGCTAAAATTTAGTAAAATAAGTTAAATTAAAGATAATTCTAATTTTTAAAACAATATTTTCAGAATATATTAAAGTTTTTATATTTAATAATAGTTTAAATCATATGATATTTATATCAAATGCTCCTGTAGTAAATAAAATGAATATTGATTCAGATGATAAAAATATTCTAAAAATAAAAGATACTGTCAATTTTTATTATAATGAACTCTATATCCTAGATCTCAACTTCACTATAAGGCTATAGTGAAGATTTTAAGAGATTTGATTAGCCAATTTGCTATAACAAGAGTATTTTTATTATATTTTATTTAAAAAATTTATTATATTAAGAATTTACTATATCAAGAATTGATTGTATAAGATAGAAACTTAATAATCAATTTTAAAAAATGAATTTTGATGATGATTAATTAAAAGATATTAAACAGATTTTAATAGAATAAAAATTATAGAAAAAAATATATATATTTAAAATGTATGTTAAGTTTATAATGTATGAGTAATAAATAAAATGTGATAAATAAGATTTAGAAAATTTAAAGTACTTGAAAAAACTAAATCACTAAAATAAATATAAAATAAGCAATTGCAGTATTCATGTGATCTAGTAATAGTTAATTATATTTATATGAGTTGTATTACAAATTTGATATACCAAATATGCAAAAAATATTATAGGTAATATAAATTATATTATAAAAAAATAGAAGATATTAATTATGGAGATTATTATAGTATAAAATTATTTCTCTTTAACTAAACTATTTAACTCAAAAAAGAATTTTAACTAAAGTAATTGAAATGCAAGTTATATTTATATTTTTCTTTCTAAATTTTAATGTAAGTTAAACTTCATTAAACAATATTGGGGGTTACTAAATAATTTGCAAGAGAAAATTGCAATTATTTATAATAATAATTATAAAAGATTATTTTAAGAATATTAACTTTTATTAAAATAATAACAATTTGCCAATTTGCAAAAAAATTATAATGTTATATAAATATATATAAGAATAAAATAATAGGTAAACTTAAATATTTAATAAAAAGTATAAATATTATAAAATAATTACAAAATATGTTTAAAGGTATTTTCATATTATTTTATTATAAAAGTCATATGAAATATTATGTAAAATCACATGAAATATCAATGTAAAATCACATGATGTATATAATATAAATTTTAAATTAATATTGATTATACAGAAAATTGCTAAAAGTCTTCAAACACTTTTTAGATCAATATGAAATACAAAATTTTAAAGTTTAACTAAAAAAAGTTTAATAATATTTTTATTTAAGTAAGATTTGCTCTACATTTTGTACTAAGTAACTAGTACTTAGTCAAGCCTTCTTTTGCTTTAATTATAACTCAAATTTGTTATGGCATACTATCGACCAAATTTTTGATAGTATGTATAGGAATTTCTTGCTATATCTTTTTAATATATCAGTTAAGTTCAGTAAGGTTAGAAGGTTGTTTTTTCCTTATGCAAATGCTTTTCATATATTCTCAATTGATTAAGGTTTAGACTTTAAGCAGGTTAAGAAAGTATGTGTAAGTTATTTTTTGTATGAAATTTTTTTGCAACTTTTGATTTGTGAAGGCGAGCATTATCCTCTTGAAATAAACTGTCACTATTTAAAAATATACGTCTCATACATATGTAAGCTGATATCAAGAAAAACATTCATAAAGAAATAAATAGTCTTCTAATCTTACTGAATTTAACCGATATGTTAAGAAGGTATAATGAGAAATTTCTATACATACTATCGAAAATTTAGTTGATAATATGCTACAGTGAATCTAACTGTAATTAAGCAAAAGGAGGCCTGACTAAGTACTAGTTGCTTAGTATAAAATGTAGAGTAAATCTTATTTAAATAAAAATATTATTAGTTAAACTTTAAAATTTTATGTTTTATAATAATCCAAAAAGTGTTCAGAGACTTTTGATAACCCTCTATAGATGATTTGTATTATAATTACATTTAAATTTATTAAACAACAAATTGATTTAACATCACTTTTCTTTTAAATTTCTCTTCTAATTTTAAAATCTCATTATTTTTATTTTCAAAATCATATTGATTATTATAATAATAATTATTTTGATTTCTAACTTTTCAAATTTTATCAAAAATTTTAAAAAAATTATATAATAATATAATGTAATTGGTTAAATTAATAGCTGTTTTTAAATCTTTTATAAATAATTCTTTTAAATCTTTAAATCTAACTTTAATTTATTAAATATATATTCTATAGTAACTTTATACTTTAAATAAATAAAATTAAACTAATATTATCTATAATTAGAAACATTTTAAAAGAAAATATCAAAAAAAGAAAAATTGTATATGTTAAATCACCTAACTTATAATTTTCATTTTAAATATATTCAATTTATTAAAATAAAAAATCTGAACTATACTTTAGACCATACCAATTTAATTTTTCGTTTAACATAACATCCCCCTATTTTGTAAATTTAGTATGAATATTATGCACAATATATGGCTAATAAAATTGCTGTATTTTTGGTCATGTAATAATTTACTGATCGCATCGATTACATGAAAGGCATATAAAACTGCAGATATTTAGAAATTTGTACAACAATTATAAAATATAATTGTGAAAAAAAATAAAGCTTCTTACCGCCATTTTCTCTTATTTTTACGCTTGGAAAATTTATGAATTTTTTTTATAATTAGCTTTTCTAATAAAGCTTTGTTATTCTGGCAATATTTTTTGATTTTCAAATAATAAATGTTTAGGTTTTTCTGAAATATTTCCTTCTCAGCTGAATTTTATTTATTATCTTTGCGCTGGGATTCAATTTTAAAATTTTCAAATATTTTACTTCTTTTTTCTGAGTCCCACATTTTTTGTAGATCATTTGTGAATTTTTTATCTTATAACATTTGCAGAATACAAGATGTGATTGAAAGACCATGAGAAAGTCATAGTTACTAAATGGATAAAGTAACAAAAAAAAAGACTTTAAATCAACTAGATTTTAATTCCAAACATTAAAACCATCAAGATAAAGTTGGATAAGTTAGATAGACTAATTGGATAACAGATTACTTAAAATACTATAATGGAATTAATGGATTATCTTTCTGTTCACAGATAAATAGATTTCTGGATCAGTATTTTTTGCTATTTTTGTGATTTTTCACGTAAACAGCACTAGTTCATAAACATGCTCTATCTTTTAATACAAGTTAACGAAAATATCAAGTGTATCATTTCTGAACGTATAGTAAGTATAGAATCTACAACTAATAAGTTTTGTGACCTTTTTGATGCTGTTACAGTAGAGCAATACGATGATAGAGAGGTGCAAGTCTTTGTTAGAAGAGAAAAGTCTGAAAGTTAGTGAGAAGTTGATATTGGTTTAAATGGTGACCTAAAAATGTTAGAAGTTTTTGGATTTTTGCAAGTTAAATTTTGTCTCATTGCTAATATAAATTCTGATACGCCAGCTTCAATTCAAAGCAAACCAAATTCTTTTAGCATTTTAATGAAAAATTCAAAGCAGCCATTACTTCCTCAATATTGTTTAAAATATAACAATTATAATCGACTTTACAATGAAATTATTGAACTTTTTCAAGATAAAAAAGTTAGCTAGATAGGTGGCCTACATGATACAATTGGCAAAACATTTGTAAATTAACTTACAAATGTCTTATGGTATATTGATCCGCATCTTTTTACATTATGTGCATGTTCATATCACTTGTCAGATTTTTTTATACAGTTGAAGACCTATTAAAATGGAGAAACATACAACAAATTTTATCATACTAGCCATCATAAAAAAAGTTTAATGTCACAACAAAAACTTGCTTATCTTGCAAATTCTCTTGAATTATCCATTAATCAACTATGGGCAAATAGTAATATATTAGATCAAGTAATGCCTAAAATCCTTTCTCTAATTGAAATTTTAAAAAAATATTCCAAATATTTAGTTAATACTACTAATAGTATGAACAAGCTTCATTATAGTGATGAAAATGCCTGCAGTCCTGATAATAACAGTTTTATGTATCGAATTACCGTTTGTGATCATAATAGCCTTAAAGATGATTATATTCAATTGAATGATTTTCTATTTGGAAGACCATTTTATGAATATGTCAATATTCAAGAATTTCTTCCAATTGATATTATAAAATGATACTAATTTATAAAAGAGTTATAGCTCACATTTTCAATAGGTGTATATAAGTTAGTATTTTAATATTATATCATAACTTATTTACAAAATTGTTAACAATTAATTTTATTTCTAGATTTTATCAAGGAAATTATTTAGGAACAATTAATTATGTATAGAGAATCTCAGAAACCAATATATTCAATGATAAACAAAGTGAAACTTTGAAAGCACGTATGTTAGCTAGAATTTACGAAAATTTACTCCATTACTTTACATGATAAATGCGAAAGAATGTGCTTAATAAGGTAATAAAAATGTAATTGATATTTGAATATTTAAATAAATCTATTATCTAATCTCATAATATTTATATAGTATTTCTATATCAAGAAAGTTACATCGGCTATATTATGAATGCTTTATTTTGATCTTACTGGTAATGCTGCTGTAAGTTCAAATGCTATTACTTGTGATATTAAAGAGAGATTACGAATGATGTTAACTCTAGTAGACCCTGAAATAATATTTAATTTACGAGCAAATAATGGATTTAATGAAATAAAATTTAATACATTTTGAAATGAAACGGAAGCTTATTTTAATGAACAAGTAAGTTTTATATCTATTTATTTATCAGATATTTTTATTGAAAAATGCTTTAAATTATTTTATTTATTAGAATTTTTTAGTAGTAAATAAAAGACGTCATAGAAATATTCTATATATGCCATTGGCTTTATCTATTCGTAACCTTTGTGAAATTATTATAGAAAGATTAAAAAATCTTCATGATGATCCTCTTCCTTTCAACATTCATATTCCATTAAATGAGTGAATTCGTCTTCAGTTTTGTCTTACAAATATTACAATAACACGATCAATATTTCATATTAGTTGATTTAATGTAAAATTTAAGGTGCAAAGTCGTCTGCTTCAAAAAAATAGTGATGATGCATATTATTGTGCAGCATTTTTTCAATATCTTAAGGAATTTTGTATTCAATATCGTCAATGGATTTGCTTAATTTCTGCAGATGATAAGTATAAAATTTTTATTGGAGAAGATGTTGCAATTTCTACAAGTGTACAAAATTGACGTTCTATAGTAACTCAAAATAGTATCTTAGCTGCAGCTGATTATAATTTTACAAAACTTTTGTTAACTCTGTCAGTTACATTTTTTATAACAATTCTTAACGATATTTCAGGATCATTTTATGAAGGTTAGGTATTTGTATCTTATAAGAATACAATTTTGAACTAAGTACTCCTATTAGATATTCAGCTGAATTTTTAAATACACTTAATATCCAATATATAAATCAAACAATACTACCAATTTTATGCCTTTATACTGATAGAGGTTCAGATCATCAATGCAATTATAGATCAGTACAAATTTTATTGATTAGTCTTTTTCTTTATGAAAATTTCGATTTGCTTATTGCAGTTCGTATAGTTCTAAATTATAGTTGGACAAATCCAATAGAACGTATTATGAGTACTTTAAATTTGGGTCTTCAAGGTGTAGCATTTAAACGTGATTCAATGAATTCTGAATCGAAAAGTTTATTTGATATAATAAATACCTTAGATGATATTCGTAAAAAAGTTCAAGAATCAAATAAATTTAGAATCTGAATTAAAAGAAAGTATAGTAGATATTAAAAAAATACTAAAGAATTGAACAGAGTGACTTAAATTAAAAGAAAATAAATTTAAATGTCATAATCCGGCAGATAAAAAAGCAATTGAAAAATTATTTAAGGTAAAAAATTAAATATATTCAATAAATGTATTTATGTAAATATTGTAAATATTATAATTAATTAATTTATAATATAATTTTATATAGGCAATTTATGATATAGATTCAACTTTAACAATTGAAGAAATTACACAAGCACAAATGCGTCAATATTCTGCATTAATTGAATTTATAAATACTCATTGTCGAGCACATGCTTATAGTTTTCAGGTATATATTATAAATTTATATTATAATTAAATAATTTTTATATTCTAATTAATATTAATTTTTTTAAGATAAAAAATGTAACAATATTACCTGTCCATACTATAAATCAATTTGTCTTCCATTGAATAAATTTTATAATTTGAATTTTCTTTCAGATCCAATTCCTTCATCAGGTAAATTTATATATTTTAATATTTAATTTAATTTAAATATTAATAATTTTTAAAATAGATAATACAGATCATTATGCAACTTTTCAACATGTTTATGGAATGGAAACTACTAAAGAATTTAGACCAACATATATGCAGTTACAGGTAAATGCAGAGTTAATTCCAAAAAGTATTTTAATTAGAGGAAAAATTCGTGATTATATTAGCTGTGAATATTGTCAAAAAACATCGTTGTATATACAGCAATAAAGTTTTAAATGATGAGAAATAATATAACTATCAACAAGCATTAGAATCATATTCATACTCTTGTGATGCATTAATTTTTCTGATGATCATTATTTAAAAGAAACAGTATTTGTACGTACACAAATTAATTGTGATTCACTAATTGAAATATTATATTACTCAAGTCGTAAATCAGGAAATTATCCAATCTGTTATTATTGTGAAGAAAAAGAAGATTTGATAACACCTTCTCAATCATTGAAAGAACGTTTTAAACAAATATATCTATTATGTGAAGTATGTTATGAAAATAAAAAAGACTTCTATATTAAAGGAGAGATTAAAACTAGTAAACATGTTTTAAAAAAACGTAAAATATAGATTTATAAAATAAAAATCATTATACATTATAATATTATATAACCAATAAAATTATAGCATTTTAACACGTAATTATATTATATATTTTTTTTTTTATTCTCTCCCCCCCTTTTTATTATCATTTCCTATGTTATGTTAAACATAGAATTAAATTGGTATAGCCTAACTAGTAAATAATAAAAACAATCTATATAGCTATTATAAAGATTTTGTATCTGTACTTCACATACATAAATATCAATAAAGTTTTTTTCCATAGTTCAGGCATTTGTTTTTTACATATATATAAGTGTATGGGGTGTGTATAATGCATCATAATGTTAATGAATTTTTTGATCATCACTAACAAAAAAATAAATACTGCATTAAATTTATCAAGTGTGAATATGCATTCACAGACGCTGATATTATTTCAATTTTAGAGTATGAAATTTTTACTCAAGTGTAAACATATGTTCACAGCTACCAAAATTTTTCTAGATTTCAAATAAGTTAAATTTACTTATGTGTGATCGCCTGTTTATATTTATCGCCTGAATATTATCTTAATAAAATATTATCCAGCTATGCGAAATGCCTCAAGACCAATATATATAGGCATGTATGACATAAATTAGCACATTTTTGATTTTCGTTAAATTATATATTATATAATAGGTGATATACTGCCCAAATCAGCTGTAACTTTGTGCGACTGTTTGTGTAATAAATTGATTTTCACATATATCTCTAAAATATTTTTGATTTTTTTCTCTTATAATGTATAGCGGAATAGCATTTATTGATATATGTATTTATTTCAGAGAGATAGGTTCTCTGACATCAACGATTCTGAGCAGAATATATTTATATAATATTTAGATCTTAGTATTAACTATTAAGCGGTCAGGCAAGCAAATAAAAAGTCTATATATGTATTGTCATACTATTCTAAAAGTCAAGATCTTTAATGCACATTCCACATGTCCTTATTCTCAAACACAAAATTTTAGCATAAAGGTTTATTGCATATTCTTCTGCTTCGATTCTAACATAAACTTAGGCCTAGAGAAATTGTGAATGGAAAAATTGTAATGCATTTAAAAGGGCAGTATATATTTTTTTAGTCAGAGTCACTAAGATATTTTATTGGATTACTAACAAATTTTTACTATGGTAAATTTAGTAGCTAAAATAGAAACGCTTTTTCTAGAAAGTACTTTTGAAGTTATATATTCTGTAATAGTGATATATTTATCGATGGAAGGAGCAAGTATACCAACATATAACCATATTAAGGAGTTAGCAGATTGTGCTGTAAACGCTTTCTTGACAAAAATAACTAATTATGAATGAAAAATGAAAGTTTTGGAAATTCTGCCTCAGGTTAGTGAATTACTTTTCTTAGAAGAATTGTAGTTTATGTATACTGATGAAATTACAGCAAATGCTATGAGTTGTTTGTCATACCACTGCTGAAGATTAGGGAATGCCAGCCTAAAAGAGCGATGTAGTCAGGATTTTTTTCCTTATAATGTTGAGGGTTTCTGCTTCCTCTAACTATGCGTGACTCTTAGACAAACAGAAATACTTTATTATTTACTGGAGGATATTATAGAATCTGAATATACATGTGCAAATATGCAGATTAAAATTTTTAAACTACCATGATCATAATCCTAACTTATTATGTCTGCTATATCCTAGGATTGAAAGTGGTAAAAGGGTTGAATACAGAACAAGAAGCATCTTCTGATCATACAAAAGAGGAGATTGGACGAAATTTAAGAGCGTTACAATCAAAATTTAGAATACTAATTATTGATACAGATATATCTCTATATAGTGCTCTCAAAAATATTTAGCAAGCATTGACCTTTCAGTTCTTACATGATAAGACCCAGAGGCGAGTATGGTTATTTCTGATGAATCAATGTTGGTGAAAAATTTAAGGCAAAGACAAAGCAAATTTTTTTAGAACAGCACGAGAATATGAAATGTGATCTTCTTATGTCAGTTGCTTTAAAATGTGATGAATTTGTAAATAATTTCAATAAGACTAATATTCTGGATGCGCTCATGAATATTATATGCAGAAGGCCGCTAAAAATCTTTGAACACCATTTTTTAGGTGTGATTTCATGCCGTTAACATCATGTGACTTAATAATACTATGGTCATATGATATTTCAGATCTTGTTTACATGAATCAAATATAATAAATGCGTGTTCAGTTTGTTTATTTTGATTTTGAATCAAAATAAACTTTAATTCCAAAAATACCTAAATAATGTCTAAAGAATTAACTGCAGAACAACGCGGTACTATATTTTTTTGCCATCAATGCGATGATAGTTACCAAACTATTGCCATGACAGTTGGATGTGATGTGTCAACAGTATTTGACACTTTGAAAAGAATGGATGACACTGGAACAACTAATTCGAGACCTCGCTCTGGCTGACCATCTCTTTTTGGACTTTTACAACAAAACTGGATTAAGAAATTTGTAACCAATAATAATGGAAAGAACTGTCGCTTATGTACTCCAGAAATTCAACAATTCTAGAATAAAAAGACTGGCCAAGTTATTTCAACTCGCACTATTGGCCGTGCACTTTGTGCAGTTAGATTAAATAATCGTATTACTTGACGTAAATCTCTAATCTTATCAGTAAATATGGAGGCATGTCTTGCATAGTGCTTAGAACATCAAAGTTGGACAAAGGACGATTGGTCGAAAGTTCTGTGGAGTGATGAGTTGACCTTTTCTCAATTTCAACAATCTCAGTACAGTAGAGTTTGGCGAGAACCTAGTGAAGAATACAACATTTCTTGTCTTTCTGCAATAGTAAAGTATAGCCAAAGTCAAATATTTTGGGAATACTTTTCGAGATAAGGTGTAGGACCTATTGTTCCATTATTTGGAACAGCAACTGGTACCTCACATGTTACTATCCTTCAAAGGTTTGTCATGCGAACCATGAGACGTGTATTTCCAAATGGTGATGGTTAGTTTCAGGAGGATAACGCTCGTCCACATACATCAAAAGTTATGAAGAAATTTCACACAGAAAATGGCTTGCGCAAACTTTCTTGGCCGATTCAAAGTCCAGACCTCAATCTGATTGAAAACCTGTAGGCAGATGTTAAGAAAAGCATTTGTGAAAGAAAAAAAATGCCTTCCAATATTGCTGAACTCGAACAATGTATTAACAAGACATGAAGAAAATTTTCGATACAAACTATCAAAAATTTAGTCAATAGTATGCTATGGTGAATTCAAGCTGTAATTAAAGCAAAAGGAGACCTAACTAAGTATTAATTACTTAATACAAAACTTAGCGAATATCTTATTTTAATAAAGATATTAATAAACTTTTTTATTCATATTATAAATTTTAAGTTTTTTAATGAGCCAAAAAGTGTTCAGAGACTTTTGGCGACCCTCTGTATAATAACGAATGAAAAGAAAGGATGTCTCAATTAATAGAAAGAACAAATTATATATTAAGTGTCCTGTAAGTATTTTCTTGACTTTGCTATCTATCACTAAATATGATCATCAATACCTAACTCAAGATTGTATTATTTTTTCACTATATATAGTGGGAAAATATGAAATAATCCTACGTTTGTGACTAGTGAAATGCGTAGTAATTAAAGCGAAGAAATGTATATCACAGATATTATTGTGCCTTTACTTCAGGCTAGCTTGGGGGCTCTACCAAATGGTAATATCTGTTTGAGTATAGCAGAATGACAGAGTATTGCAAGTAAGATATGAAGAAGCTTTGAAAAAAATGAGAAATAGGCTTTACAACCATCTAGATCTTGAATGAGAAAAAAGTCTGATGTTATAGTAATGATGAAATGTGAAGGAAAGATCTTTGAACTTGCTTATGTTAAATTTTTACAAGTTATTTGCACTAATACTAAAAAAACAAGTGATTCAGTGAAATTATAAAGAGAGACTTTAGATGGAATAAGCTTTATTGGTATCGTCTATAGACTGACAAATAATCAATTTGATATTGTAGAAATCCAGGTGGCTGGTAAGGATTTATATCTAAATGTTTAATAAAGATGCAAGCAGGATATCAAGATACTTTCATCTAGACTATGCAAAAATACCTTTTACGAAAAATACTTCATGACGTATAAAATCTCTTATATATTTATTATTGATCTTGAGAAATATTATGATTATAAACAAAAGTTTGCTAATGCAAGCATTAGAATAAGCTAGTATACATCTGCCTAGAAATGTCAGACCAAGTCCTACTGTTTCTTTACTTTTCTATAAAAAATATTAGAATATAGAAAGTTTTATATATTATTAGTATAGAAATGTAAATTAACACTATATATTTAGGTCAAGTCCTAAACCTTGTATTTAATTTTATAACTGATAATAAAAATTTTATTGGCAAATACATGATTTTTATGTATACATATAATTCTCTAAAAATTATTATAGTTGAATACATCCCAGTTTAGTTTTGACTTATTCTTTTTTTTGCTATATGTCATATGCAGTACGTAATAGTACGTCATTACTATACTTTTCTACAGTAACTACATATATATTATTTTGAATATCATATGATATCACTCCCTCTGGGTTCAGTGTCAAGTGATCCTTTACGCATATACTTTTATAAATATCATATGATATTACTCCCTCTAGGATCAGTATCAAGTGATTCTCTACATATATACCATTATGAGTGTCATATAATATTGCTCCCTCAAGGCTAAGTGTCAAGTGATCTTTTACATATATATTATTATAATACTACTTCTTTTAAGTCAGAAACTCATAAAATTCTTTCGATTTGAGCTGCAATTTATTTCGATTTGACCAGAATTGATAGCTGAAATTATAATGATATTAGCAAAATCATATGTTTAGATAATTAATAGTCAATCATTTTCTGATTACATGATAAAAATTATATCTAAAAATTTCGATCTTTGAAAAAATAAAAATAAATCAGATCATTTATTAAATATGTTTGGCTAATACTTTCTATTATATATAAAAATAAAACAGATTATATATTAGAATTTATGTAAATATGTTTGAGCTAATGCTCTCTATTATATTAAAAATAAATTAGAAGCGTGATCATTTTTTAAAATCTATATATATGTAAATATGCATAGCATCGGCTAATAATGTTATTCAATCAGTCTGTATTGGTATCCCTCCTCATTTAGATCAAAATTATCAAATTGATCTTTAAGCCAATTTGGTTAAGAAGAATTTGCTCTAATCCTTTCTTGAATGATCTTTATTTCTTTATCAGTAAATTTTCCAAAAGATGATGATAAAATTCTCCTAATTCGCTTGATCTCAACTCTTTCTAAACCTTCCATTTTGAATATGTTGTAAATATTTTTAACTGAGCATTTTTTCTTGTTAAAGATATTATGAGACATGTCAAAGGAAAATTGTCATTTAATTTCTGCATTAAATAAGATTTGCGCGATTTGAAGAGGGTAAATGGATGTAAATTTAACTAATTTTTTTTCTAATGCTTTCTCAAGAGGATAGTATGAGTTAAGGATTTCATATTCTATGCAGAATACTTCATATGTTTTTTCTTTAAAAATCTTCTCAGCATCAAGTATTTATTGTGTATTTTGACGAACACCATATCTGAAGTTGTGAGGTTCTCCGTTTTTACATTTGTTACTAGCAATAGATTAAAGTCTTATGGTTTGTTAGATAACTCTTTAAAAATTTTTTAACTTTATTTTTTTCTTCTTGAGGATTTAACCTTGCATTATCATTCTCACTAAGATAAATAGATCATTGACAATGAGGACATATCATATATTTTTTTAAAGAAATAATAATACATCTAAGATAGAAGTTATAAAGACAGGACAATCTCACGACTAATTCGAGATTAGCTCCATCAAGTTCAAATAATAGATCAGGTTTATTACAGAAAAAACATGTTTCAGATCCCTTTGAGCAAATTCCTTTTGAGAATTGATAGGTGTGATGAGTTGAATAGTGTGATAAGAGATACTTCTGTCAGGTATATCCTCATCAAATATTTCTTCTTTAATGGCCAATGGAATACGTAAAGAGATGTTATTAGATCTTTCTGATTCTATTAGTATTTTTTGAGATGCGATTTACAGAAAAAATGTTATTATGAGCAAAAGGAGAGAGTTTTTATACTTTCTGAATACTCCATTTATGATTGTGAAATTGTAACACATATATATTTTTCTTGACAAATTTCGCTTACAGATCGTGAAAAAAAATCATATGATTTTTACTCTATCAGGTTTCTTGTAGCTTTTCTTCACATATGTAATATCTTATAGCAGAGTGAACGCCATTATACTCTGTCATTTTTTCATCTAAAATCATTTAGGAGGAATTTTCTGAGAATATTCTAAGTATTTTTTTCTGAAAACTAGGCTTCGGCAAATTTTTAGCTAATTTTAGACAGAAATTATTGTTAAAAATAAATGAAATACTTAAACTTTTGGAAAAATATGAAATTTTTGAAATTTTTGAACTTTTGGATTGTTTTTTTTTCGATTATATTACTTTACTGAAGGTATTAAATCATAATCAGTCATATGTTTAGCCAATCACATTTCAATGAACACTATAAGTGTTTATTTAACCAATTACCCTAATCCTTAAAAAAGAAGCATGGTTACATCTTACAACTTGCAAAAATAACCCACTATCTGAGAAACAGGCTAGAGGAATTTGTCTAGATATAGAGGAGTTACTCACTAGTAATATTAATAGGTACCATAAAAGTAAATATCGCTAGAAAATTAAGATCAAAGCAAATACCTCCACTGATGATACCAATACTTTTTTCTGATTAGATAGCTTAGAAAAACAGTTAGAGAAGCGTGAGACTTTGCTAAGACAGAAGTAAAATAATATTAAAAAACTATTAAGGCTCAAGTTGCTAAAGAATGCAAATATCTAAAAAATGAATATGATGCTTTAAGTCTCATCTAGAGAATGAATATATAATTGCATGGTAAATATGAAATAAAAGATATATTCATTTAAATATCAATTGGAATCCTAGCATAATTCACATTCAGCTGAGCTAGAGAAGCAATATAAATCTTATATCTTTGCTTTAGATAAAGCTAATGCTATAAAAGATAAGAAGATCAGCAAGTTATCCTCTACTATTTCCCAGCTTAAGAATGAAAAACAGAATATAAAGAAAACCACTGAGTCTGTATATAAAGATTTAGAGGATGTTATCTTTGCTAAGGATTTAAAGATTATTACTCTCAATAATAAGATTATTTCTTATAACCCTCATGTTAGAAGAGATGCGATAATAGAATCAAGTTTATATTTTTCCCATCACGACACTGAATTATGGGCTGAAAAGTGGAAAAAAGCAAAGAATGATATAATTATTTGAAAAAAATATACATTCTGAATATGTATCTAAGCAAGGCTTAATCGAACAGATATCATATTTTTTTCTAAACATGGATTTGTCAAACTTTTCATAGGTTTAGTATGGGATTTTTCAATTGCGTATGAATTTTTTCATAAAAAATATTGCCAAAGATTGGCTGAATATAGGAATACCTTTCCACAATATTGGCATGTTCAATCAACTATTTTTTTATAAGTTTCTCCTTTTCTATAGTGAAAATATTGCGCTGGGATTTGTGAAATGATAATAGTCTTTTTATTACATGTAGCCTTAAATTCTTCTTTTATTAAAGGCTCCCATTTAGCCTAATATTACTATTGAGTACCAAAAATTACTAAAGATTTAGTATTTCCATTATGATCCTTTTTTTGCAAGCACAACAGAAAATTTATCTATGATAGTAACTATATTTTCTTCAGAACCAATTATTATGGAAACATTATCCATAGTACTGATAGATATTGATTGACTTGCAATTTCATTAAGTCTATGAATTTTTTTCCTATTAATTTTAATGCCTAAAAGCTCTTCGACAACTTCTGTGATATTATCTAAAAAGATAGAAGAATCACACTAGTCGAAATAGTCCAAATCAGCTAAAAATTAGATGGCTGATTTTAGACCAATTTTAATACTATTTATGTCTGATTTTCCATGTTTTCTGATTAGCACAAACAGATGCTGATAGATGCCAATCAATCCCAATCGGGCATGACTATTCAGAACTTAAATTTAACTATAAATCAGCCTAAAACTGGCCTCAATTCAGCAACAATTCAGACGTTGATAGACACTGATCAACTCCAATTAGATATAGCTATTCAGGTTAAATTTAACTATAAATCAGCTTAAAATTAACCTTAATTCAGCATTATTCAGCATTAATTCAAAACTTAAATAACATAAATTGGCTTAAAATTGGTCTCAATACAGTATTATTTGGCATCAATTTGGAACTTAAATAACTATAAATTAGCCTAAAATTGATCTCAATTCAGCATTATTCAGCATCAATTCGAAATTTAAATAACCATAAATCAGCCTAAAATTGGCTTCAATTTGGTATCAATTCAGTTAAATAAGTATATAAAATCGATATATTATATTTATTAAATTTATTAAATATTATAATTTTATTAATAATTAAAACCTAATATAATTTGCAAAAATATAGCATAAATATTACCAAAAACCTATTAATTAATTTTTTATCTAAAAAATATAAGTAAAAAATGAAAAAAAACCATGTAAAATAATAAAAAATAATACATTTTCCTCCTAAAATCCCCTTAAATCATCCTAAATATTTATTATAATAATATTGCTATTTTTAAATAAAAAAGAATAAAAAATTAGAAAAATTGACTAAAATTCAACTTAAGTTTCGTCCGATTAGAGGCATATTTTTATTATAACTTAATTTTCATTCGATTTAATAGTTGGAGATATGTTTCTATTATAAAAAGTAAAAAAATCAGAAAAATTCAACTTAATTTTTGTTCAATTTGATAGTTGGAGGCATGTTTCTATTATAAAAGTAAAAAAATCAGAAAAATTCAACTTAATTTTTGTCCGATTTGATAGTTAGAGGTGTTTCTATTATAAAAAGCAAAAAATTCAAAAAAATTTAACTTAAGTTTCGTTTGATTTTGATGGTTGGAGGCATGTTTCTATTATAAAAAGTAAAAAAATCAGAAAAATTTAACTTAATTTTCATCCAATTTGATGGTTGAAGGTGTTTCTATTATAAAAAGCAAAAAAATCAGAAAAATTTAACTTAAGTTTCGTCTGATTTTGATGGTTGGAGGCATGTTTCTATTATAAAAAGTAAAAAAATCAGAAAAATTCAACTTAATTTTCGTCTGATTTGATGGTTAGAGGCATGTTTCTATTATAAAAAATAAAAAAATCAGAAAAATTCAACTTAATTTTCGTCTGATTTGATGGTTAGAAGCATGTTTCTATTATAAAAAGTAAAAAAAAATCAGTTTATTTTTGAAAAGTTGACTAAAATACAGCTTTTTCTTTGTCTGATTTTGATAGTTGAAGGTGAAAATTGACTAAAATTCAACTTAGGTCTTTTTGTTTTTGGGACAATTTTTTTTTGGGATTTTGGTGAAATGTAAAAAGAGAAAATTTGAAAATGATTAAAATTATTTTTTAAAAAGTTAAAAAATTAAGCTTATTTATATAAATATTCCTATATACCAGAAATAAA